AAATCACTCTGCAACAAAAAGGTTATGAATCATGAACTTCATTTAATGAAGGCAGATCTGAGATGCAAAAGCCTAGGTTCCAAACCAAAATCACATTCCAAATTTTCTTTATATAACACACAACCTATAATATTCTCCAGAGATAGTCCACTAACCTTGCTTAAACTTTTTCAGTGTTGAGGAACTCAACACCTTGTGTTAAACAAGTTCATTTTATTGTGAAAAACATTTTTTGTTAGTATCTTAAGTTACTTTGGGACTGTTGTGGAAGATTCTGAGAGAATAAGGAGTTAAAAACAAGAAAGATACTAAGACAGACTGGGAAGAAGGACAGGACCATCCACATCTGAAAAAATTGGCCACTGAAAACCTCATGAATAGCAATGAAACACTGTCTAATACATCAAATATATAGACACTCAATAATCTACTCACTACTTACTTGATACCCCCACACTGGGTCCCCAAAAAAAAACAGACTCACTGCTGTCAAGTTGTTCTGACTCCTAGCGACCCTTCCTTGGGTTTCCAAGGCAGTATCTCTATAGAAGGAGATTGCCCAGTCTGATAATGAAAGAGCTTGACATTTTTGTGGCTATCTGCCTTAAAGGAACCTATTATTATAGAATATCCAGTTTTATAAAAGAACCTTATTTTGTTTTTTTCATCCAGCTGTAGTCTTTAGTCAGTTATGAGTCTATAGGAAAAGTTTCTGTGCATCAGTCAATAGTTTGAACAAATGATGTCAAAGATATATTTTATATATATAGTGATATAGTGAGGCTCTCTGGAGGGACAGGGAAGTTAATATTTGATAATATAAGTATTAAAGTGACCTTGACCAGTTATCTTTTCTCTGTAAGAGTTTTGCTTGGATTCAATAATGCCATATACAGAAACTTCTCAACATTTAATGTCATAGAATTCCTATGAATACAAATAACATTCTGATAATATGCTTTTTCTACTACAGCCATTCCTCCATATATTTTATCTACTTAGTGGGTCATTTAGTTCAAACCATAACCAAAGAAAAAATATATTTTAAAATAGCAGCTGTTGAATGTTTTATAAACTATAAATTTCCTTCATGCATTTTAATGTATTTCATCTCAATGAAAATGTGAAAGAGGCAGGTAAGATATAATATAGAAATTGAGGTACATGAAGATTAGAAATCATGCTAAAATCACACAGCTAATACATCATCACCATGTTCAAGTACTAATTCTTTGTTATGCTATGTACAATCTTCCATTCTTATCACTGGATGGTTGAACACTTGCTGCAACACAGTGCTTATTACTTCTTATTGTGACCCATTTTCTTCTGAAATTGTTCATTTATAAAATGCCCATATGCGTCAGTGTCTCTCAGCATTCCCAATGTTAAATTAGGTCCCCAGATAAAACTTAATTCAAATTCTGTTCCCAAGCTACTCCCATCAAGTTTGGCTGATAGTGCCTCTCACTTTCACTCAAGAATGATCTGTCCTTCATATCCATTCATGTTTATGGCTTCATGATCTCTGCTGATGTGACTATCTGCTATTCTATCCTACTCATTCAAGGTAGCTATACTTTTTACCAGACAATTTAGAAACTAGTAGCAAAAGTATGTTGTATTAATTTTTCACTTCTGCATTAACAAATTACCACAAGTTAAGCAGCTTAAAACTATACTCATTTATTATCTAATAGTTTTGATAGATTCAGAGTGTGAACACAGTCTCATTGGGATGTTTGCTTAGGGTCTCACAATTTGCAATCAAGGCAGTATCTGGGATATTTATAAAACTTCTTTGCCATATAACTTACTAGAGTTTTTGGACTCAACAAGTATGGCTCAAATATTGCACAGGATATACTTAAACTTAAAAACATCAGCTTTTAAATCTGAAATTCAAGTTTAACTAGGCATCTTGTGTTTTATCTGGTAGCGTAGTGCCTAAGGTGTTTGACTGCTAACCAGAAGGCTGGTGGTTCAAACTCACCAGCCACTCCTAGGAAGGAAGATTGGGCAATATCTACTTCTATAGTGATACCTGGTAGCATAGTGGCTAAGACACTTGCCTGCTAACCAGATGGCTGGCGGTTCAAACCCACCAGCCACTCCTCGGAAGGAAGGTTGGGCAATCCTACTTCCATAGTGATACTGCCTCGGAAACCCAAGGAGGGGTCACTATGAGTCGGGTTTGACTCGATGGCACATAACAACAACAACAACAACATAGTGATACCGCCTTGGAAACCCAAGGAGGGGTCACTATGAGTCGGGTTTGACTCGATGGCACATAACAACAACAACAACAACATAGTGATACCGCCTTGGAAACCCAAGGAGGGGTCACTATGAGTTGGATCCAACTCAATAGCAGTGAGCTTGGTTTTTGTGTGTTTTACCAGCCAACTCCAAATGTAACATAATTATGAGAGTGATTTACAATTAATCTTGCCTTTTTTTTTGGGGGGGGGGGTAGAGGCAAGTTATAAGTCCTGCCTACGCTAAGAGAAGAGAATCATACAACAGTGTGGGTCATTGAGGAATCATCTTAGAATTTTCCTACCACATTTTCTTTTTGTATTCCTTTGGCCTAACTATGATTACATTTCCTCCAGGAGAGAGTATAGCTATAGCAATAAGATGTCATTTTATGGAAGATTTCTTCTTGAAATGTATTCCTTCTTTCCCCCTCTGTCTAGAAGCTATGTGCTTTCTCATAAGGCTGACCAACTCTTACTCATCCTTCATATTCCAGCCCCAAATCTGTCATTTTTGGAAAACTTTCTGAACTTTCTCTCTATTTAGTATGAGTCCTGGCCCTTATTCTGATTTCTTTCTCTGTACTTCCAAAATATCCCTGTATATATCTATATAATAACAATTCTATATGCTATATGCAATTGTATATGAACAGTTCTTTATTAAGAACTCAATAAATGCTTGATGAATGACAATACATATTTATCCAATTTATAAGAAGTGGATCAATATCTTTAAGAATGACAATACATCCATCCATTCCCTTTAGCCATTCCTCTTCACATATTACAATTTATTTCAAGATTCAAAGGACTCTAGGAATTTATTGCAACATGGTTGGTTGAATCATGACTCTATTTTTGACAGTCTTTCTGTCTCCAAGAAGAATATTGGTTTCTAAAGTCAAATATATAATTGGCCACTATTCCAAGATATAGAAACATATCATCTTCCAGCTCTGCCTTTTCCTGCTATTAGCATCTCCATTTTCTGAGTCAGTCTAAAGTTCAGATCCATTCTTAACCTATAGTATCCCAGAATAGGATGATAGCAGAAATGAATATATTATTAGTTAAAAGCTTTGGTGGCACAGTGGTAAAGGTATTCATTTGGCTACTAACCATAAAAAGGTCAGTAGTTCAAACCAACCAACATTTCCGTAGAAGAAAGATGAGGCAATCTGCTTTCACAAAAATCGACAGCCTTGGAAACCCTATAGGACAGTTCAATTCTGTCCTATAGGGTCACTATGAGTTGGAGTTGACTCAAAAAGTAGATGATAGCTTTTTTCTTTTATTTGTTTTGTCTTGGTTTTTTGTAGTTGTTGTTGTTTCTTTTAATTCTTTGATTTCTAAATGTGCCTCCTAAAGTAGCCCCCAAAGTGAGTGATCCCACCCCGGTTTAGATGCATCCAGTGATAGAGACAGAGCTTGATGAGGAAGTCATTCTTGTTTCACATGTATCCAAATATGAAAAATAGCTCTTATATTGAGAAGTTTAAGAGTCAAAATCATCCTTAAATTCTCCCCTAATTAGTGTTTCTAAAAGGACACAGAATATATCTTATGTATTAATCTTACTAATATCTGCAATACTAGTCTTTCAGAGAGAGCTCTGGTAGCATAGTGCCTAAGGCACTTGACTGCTAACCAGAAGGCTGGTGGTTCAAACCCACCAGCCACTCCTCAGAAGGAAGATGGGGCAATCTACTTCCATAGTGATACTGCCTTGGAAACCCAAGGAGGAGTTGCTATGAGTCAGGTCCGACTCGACGGCACATAACAACAGTCTTTCAGATACATAAGTATACATACCACCTTGAGTTCCCTACAAGAAATATATACTACTTAAATATGGTTCATCCTATGTTTTTCTCCCTCCTCCTTTACAGTTGATGTCTAGGATGCTACAGGTTCTAATTTCACAAAATCTTTGATATGTATTTATTCTGTTTCATTACCTATGCCAATGCTTATATTCAGACCCACTTAACCAGTCTTCAGGTCATTTACATTATTTACCTATTGACAGTCAATTTCTCCCTTCAAACCCATTTCAGTACCATTCCTATTTTTCAAGCATATTTATCTGTCATTTATCTTTTTTTTTTTTTTTTTGGTGTGTGTGTGTGATGAGTACTAGTCATTATGGAAAGAAAGAAATGGATATACACAGAATCATGAAACACAAATGCTGCACAACAACAACAAAATTCTGTAAAATAGAATAAGAATGCAAAGCTCAGTCAATAAGTACACAATTTTCAAGGGAGATATTAAAGATATATAGTATTCAGTATGTCATGGGCACTGAACACCAAGAACACAAAATTGGAATGGTTACACTTGTTATAGAAGCTGATCATTAGCCCTAATTTGTTCTCTATGGAAGTCACAGAAACATAAGACAAACATATAAAATCAATAGCAAGTCTGACAAAATTACATGCATGCTTGTTAGAGGCAATAAAAGGTTTATTTGGAAGTAATCACAATATGACCCATAGAAAAAGAAGGTATTGGGCTTACACTTGGACTATGACCAATATGAGATCTGCCTTCCAGAAAGTTCATGGAGAACTCAGGTCTTATTAGTAACAGCACTTTCAAAAAGACAAGCTGCTTTCTGCAGGCTGTGGTTACTCTCTTTTCAATGACATCTGATGGGATTGTGAGACCTTGAAACAGAAATGGACTTCAAATGGTTGTTTTAGAGGAAAAAGTGCCCTGAAGTGATTTCTAGTAGCAGGAAAAATAGCTTCTTCTGTAGGAAAATGGCTGATAGCCATAGCAGCCAGAGCCATATCCGCAGCCATAATTGGAGCCATATCCACAGCCATATCCACAACCAGAGTCATACCCACAGCCATAGCGATGACCATAGCCAGATCCATAGCCACAGCCATAGCCACAGCCGTAGCCACAGCCATAGCCATATCTACCATAGTAGTTGCAACACATGATGTCAAGGGATGAAGTTTCAGTTGAGGTGTAGGAGGATGGTTCTGAAGTCTGAAAGTCACCTGCTATTCCCAGGTGTTTATATACTGCCAGAAAGAGGTGGGGCACATATAGCACAGACTCTGTGGCCTTTTTAACTACAGCAATTTTCATTTTTAAAATGCTTATCATTCTAAGGACAACAATATTTTCAGGTGGTTATGCTCAAAATTTGGCTCTAGCCAATCAAGACAGTTGTAAAAAAACATGATGTACCCTGTACATTGAACAAGTCTCTCTTGTGGAATTGAATCACAGCATAATTTAGATTTTCTCCTCAGAGACATTAAATCTCCTATACTTCCATCTACACCTACTTTAGCAATAGGAAGTATCCCAGCATCTCATATCTCAGCATCAACCAGAAAGCTCTTAGTCTGGAGGTGAGAGGTAAACAATAGTGACACATGGTGAAGCACTCTCAGGTTATACCTGCAAAAACCTAGATGGAACCCTAGCAAAATATGCATAGCAGTAGTGATAGAAACAGGAGATAAGTGAGACCAAGAAGATATGAAATGATGCAAAAGAGGAGTCTGATGCAATATACTAAAATAAAAGCAACCAGGACTATTTCCAGTGTAGCATAATCCACATCATCCCAGGTTTCATAGTATAGAACTTTTTAGTATGTTACTTTTTCTCTTTGTAATATCCTGCCTACTTATATCACCGAATTTTCACTTGATAATATCACACTGACCTTTCAAAACTCAGCTCGGTTTATGCCTCAGCATATACTGCCTATATAATTAGGCATCACTCCTCAGTTCTTTCATACATCCTCATGCAAAACTCTAGTGTGGTGGTAAGCATGCTATATTAAAATGTCTGTTTTAATTTTCACCTTTCCTCAGTCAATTGTGAGTTACTTAAACACAATAACTCTCTTTATTGCCTGAGAATCTAACAACCTAGGCACTCACTAACTGTTGAATGAGACCTTCTAAGAAATTGCTCACCTGTAAAATTTAATGTGTTATTTTAATTTAGAGATATTATCAAAGAAAATACGAAGTCCTGGTGGAGCAACAGTTAAGTGTTTATCTGCTAACTGAAAAGGTGGGTGGTTCAAATCCACTACGTTCTCTGGAGGAGAAAAGAGCTGATGATCCATTCCCATAAAGATTACAGCTCAGAAAACCCTGTGGGAAAGTTCTACTGTGTTGCATGGTAGCTGTGAGTTCGAATCCACTTCACAGCACACAACAACAACATAAAAGAAAAATAATAACACTAGTAATAATAACTAGTATTTATATTCTCCTTTACATTGATTGTTTCATTTGTTTTTTTATAAAAAACATGTAAAGCCAGAAGCTGTGATATTCATTAGCATACACATGACATAGATGAGCAAATAGAGGGGAAGGAACATTAAGTAACTTGCTCAAGGACTGTCAGCTAGTGACAGAGTTGAATTGGTTCACCTGCTGCTATAACATAAAAGTTAGGGTAGTTACCATGAATCAGTTTTTGCTTCAGTTTACGAAATGAAAAATATTCCTTTCATATGGCTAAAATTACCAGTATTTTGCAACATCTGCCCTCCATTTCCTAGGAGCTCTGGTAGCATAGTGCCTAAGGCACTTGACTGCTAACCAGAAGGCTGGCGGTTCAAACCCACCAGCCACTCCTCGGAAGGAAGGTTGGGCATTCCTACTTCCGTAGTGATACTGCCTTGGAAACCCAAGGAGGGGTTGCTATGAGTCGGGGCCGACTCAGTGGCAAATAACAACAAAATAACAAAGCCCTCCATTTCCATCATCTGGATCTTCTTTCATTGCGACTTTCATAGTCCTAGACAAATATGGTGTAAACATCAAGCAAACAGCTTTATCTCTCATATTTGCTCCATAATCTCCTTAAGTACCTTGTAGCATTATGATAGTTGCTTGTGTCATGCCATTGAGTTCTCTACCTACAAAGAGTGCAGTCTTCTTACCACTCTGTAAGTTACATTTAGATATTGTAGCAATTTAAGAGAAATGATGCTAACTTTTTTAGGTATCTCAAATTTTAATCTATATGGAGAAAAATTGCCTAAAAGAGCAACTGCATGTTAAAGTAAAACCTCAGTGATATTAAAGAACTTTCATTCTCTAATGTTGAACCATCCTGCTGCTAATGTACAACCAAACATCTCAAGGATTTTTTTTCTTGGCTTGGAGGTTTAGGACATCACAGTTCATTGACCTAACATAATTTTCAGTCCTCTTAGTTTGTTGCATAGTGCCCAGGTCTTAAAATCTTGCAAGTGACCATCTAAGATACAAAATTTGTTCTCCATTTGCTTGGAGCAACAGAGGAAAAAGGAATGTTAGGGATAGGAGGAGGAAATGGAATGTGTGGCTATACTTCCATATATAATTGCCCTCTTTGCCATGAGAAGGGAAATCTGGTGGTGCAGTGGTTAAAGTAGCCAAAGCTGCTAATCAAAAGGTTGGAGGTTCAAACACACCAGTTGCTCTGAGAGAAAAAGATGAGGCTGCCTATTTCTGTAAGGATTCACTCTGTTCTATACGGTCACTAAAGACTTGGCAATCTATTTCTGCAAAGATTTACAGCCTCAGAAACCCAAAGGGGGTTGCTGTGGGTTGGAAACTCGATGGCAGTGAGTTTGATTTTGGTGTATAGGGTCACTGTGAGTTGGAATCAACTGGATGGCAGTGGGTTTGGGGTTTGGTTTTCTATGAGAACAGAACTGGATGGTGCCCAGCTACAATTACTGAACATTTTGATAAAAGATTCCAGAAGAATTCTGATCAAAAGAAGTAAAACTACAGAACAGAACTTTAAATTCTCATGAAATCTAGACCTTGCAGAGTCACTTTCTGATGAACTCCCAAAACTATTGTCTTAAGACAATCTTTAAATCCTAAATCTTAAACCAAAACTATTTCATGAAATCTTTAAACCAAAAGATACAAAGTACAAAACAAAACAAAACAAAACCCACTGCTGTCGAGTCATCTCCAACTCAAAGCGACCCCTCCTTGGGTTTCCAAGGCAGTATCACTAGGGAAGTAGATTGTCTAATCTTCCTTTGAGAAATGGCTTGTGGGTCCAGCTGAATTAATACAGAATATTTACCTTGAGAATTGTTTTCTTTTAAAGAATAATCTGTATGGAATTGATTAACAGCAATTAAAAAAATTAGAGAAGAAACTTAGGGGCAGTGAGTTTACAGGGAAGAATAACTCAGAAAAGGAGGGTGAGAATGGTTTTACAACTTGAAGAATGTAATCAAGTCACTGAATTGTACAAGTAGAAATTTTGAATTGGTATATGGTTTCCTGTGAATATTTTCACCCCCCCGAAAAAAAAAAAAAAAACCACAGAATTTTTTTTAAAAAGAAATGAATTTGAAGGAAAAAAATAGTAAAACCTCAGATCCTAGATTGGTCTTTGCATTATGACTGTCTCACTTTTTCAATTTTTTTTCACTAAAATATGTGCAACATGAGCTTCATTCTTCCAAATTCCATCATGCTTTCCTCAGTTCACTTTTGACCTACCTTCTCCCCAAAGCAGTTTTAATTGACAAAATTTACTTGCACAGTGCCAATGATTGCTTTTCTAGACAGTGAATTAATTGCTTCTAGTCTTCCATTAAAAGGAGCTATGGTGATATATGGAGCTCTGGTAGCATAGTGCCTGAGGCACTTGACAGCAACCAGAAGGCTGGTAGTTCAAACCCACCAGCCACTCCTCGAAAGGAAGATGGGGCAATCTACTTCCATAGCAATACTGCCTCGGAAACCCAAGGAGGGGTCGCTATGAATCGGATCCGACTTGACAGCACATAACAACAATGGCATGGTGATATAGTGGGTAAGGCATTTGACTGCCAATCAGAAGATCAGTGGTTCAAACCCATCAGGTGCTCTGCAGGAGGAAGATGAGGAAATCTATTTCCATAAAGATTTACAGCCTTGGAAACCGTATGTGGGTCACTATGAGTCAGAAGAGGCTCGATGGCAGTGGGTTTGTTTTATTGGTTTAGTCTTGCATTGCAACTGGCATCATTTTAATGTCAGATCTCAATTCTTCTATCACAACTTTGTAATGTCTCCCTTACTACTGTCTCTAATTCTTGAACCTTTAATTCTTTCTCATTATGCTGTTTCGTTCTCTTCATACCAATCTTCTCTATCTGGATTTATCTTAATCCTTTCAATACCAAGTAATTTTCTGCTTTGAATTTTTGGTTGAAACCATGTATTTTCATTCATGGAAGGCATTTTGAATGAAATGAAAAAAATTGGGGGAGGGCAATATGGGTTTTGATGCAACTAGTGAGACAAGTATGTCCTGAGAACCGTGGTGCTGGAGTTGGTGAGATGAGGCCTATTTCTTCAGATTCATGCAGTTATGGAGACCCCCACCAGATGACAGCATGCACTAAAAATGGGATAGTAGATTCTCACTAAACCCCAGAAGTGGAAAATGTAGGCAGGTATTATATGTCCCATGGGTAACAAAAAGATTAAATAGTTTTTACTTTTTCAAAAAAATATCTGCATACTAGCATAGTGCCTAAGGCATTTGATTGCTAATCAGAGGGCTGGTGTTTCAAACCCACCAGCCACTCTTCAGAAGGAAGATGGGGCAATCTACTTCCATAGTGATACTGCCTCAGAAACCCCAGGAGGGGTCGCCATGAGTCGGAACCGCCTCGACGGCAGTGAGTCTATTTTTTTTTTTTTCTTTAGAGTGTAAACACTCTGAGAGCAGGTAAGTTGTCTATAATTTTATTTTTCTACTATGCCCTCACTGTCTAAAATGATGACTATTCAAAATATTAAAAAATTATTTATTAAATATGTGGAATAAATCAACTTCCCTAAAATATCTAAACAAATATATCTATACTTCCATCAAATTCAGATAGTATTATGCATATATCTCCTCTAACTTATCTTTTCCTTACTATTTTACTCCTCATGATTAGCATTCAACTCTTTTTCTACTTTCTCAACAACCCTGGACAATCTCTTCAATTCTATTACTTTTTCAAATACTTCGACTCATTCCTTCTGCTTAAGATTTTTGTCACAACCATCTGAACAGATGTCATTCATCTTCTTTTAGTCCCTCCCACTTCATTCTAAACACTAATGTCATTGGCAAAACACAGTCCTGAAATACTATATGGTTTGTGCTTAGGTGTGTATGTGCATGAATATGTGGGATATGAGAAACTGGTAGAGCAGACAATACTTATAAAATAATATAACTAGAAATACATATATCAATGAAGAGACTAAGATTTGGCCAACATGTTGTTGGTTCAATTCACTATAAAAGCCATACAATTACAAGGAAGGAGTAAAACATAAGGAACCACACAAAGATTTACTAGGGAAAAAAAAGAACAATTTTTATTGAGAATAAATGATTTTCCTAACAAAAGGAAATCAATGCATTCATAACAGAGAAACAGAGATAAAGGGAGTAGAGGCTACCATTTGTTAAATAGTCAGATGATATCATGGAACCTCTGAATACAAAGATGTCATTCTAAGAAATAGGTTTTGAAGATCAATATCTTTGTCAAGCATGCATTTTCTCGAATGTAGAAATCTTGGGATAGAGGTTCTTGGATCAGAATTATTCTTGGAAATGTCATTTCAGAAGAGAATGGTGCTCAGATAGTGATCTTCTAGCAGGAAGAAGAATAGCATCTTCTGTAGCAAAATGGCTGGTAACCATAACAGCCAGAGCCATAGCCAGAGCCATAGCCACAGCCATAGTGGGAACCACAGCCATAGCGGGAGCCATAGCCACAGCCATAGCCGGAACCGTAGCCACAGCCGTAGCCAGAACCATAGCCACAGCCGTAGCCAGAGCCATAGCCACAGCCGTAGCCAGAGCCATAGCCACAGCCGTAGCCAGAGCCATAGCCACAGCCGTAGCCAGAGCCATAGCCACAGCCAGAGCCATAGCCACAGCCAGAGCTGTAGCCACAGCCACCATAGTAGTTGCAACACATGATGTCAAGAGGTAAAGTTTCAGTTAAGGTGTAGGAGGGTGATTCTGAAGTCTGAATGTAATCTACTATTCCAGGATCCTTATATACTGCCAGAAAAGGGTGGGGCACAATTAACACAGACGCTGTGGCATTATTGCAATAGTAATTTTCATTTTTAAAAACTTCATCATACTAAGAACAACATTTTCAGGTAGTTGTTTGGCTGTAGCCAATCAAGACAGTTTTAAGAAAATGGATGTACCCTATACATTGAACAAATATGTCTTGTGGAATTTAATAAAACCTTAATTTAGATTTTCTCCTCAGACACATTAACTCTCTTGTACTTCCAGCTACACATACTTGGGCGTTGAGAGATGGACTAGCATCTCATGTTTCAGCTTCAACAGGAAACAACAGTCCTGGAGTTGAGAAGCAAACCAAGCTAAAAAACCAAACCTGTTGCCATCAAGTTGATTCCACGTCATAGTGACCCCCATTGATTGGATTTCTGAGGCTATAAATCTTTACAGAAGTAGATTGCCCTATCTTCTTTCCATGGAGAAGCTGGTAGGTTTGAACTGCTGAACTTCTGCTCAGCAGCCAAAAGCCATATCCACTACACCACCAGAGCTTCTCAGCAAGGGTGATCTCAGGTTACACCTGCAAGAATGTAGATGGAGCCCATACAGAATGATCAGTGCAGCGGTCTCAGAAATAGGAGACAGATGAAGCCAAGAAGATCTGAAATGGTATAAAAAAGAAATCTGTTACAACATACAAAAAGACAGCTGTGGTGACTGTCCAGTATAGAATAATACACTCAATTTAAGATTTCATAGAATAGACCTTTTCAATATGTTATTTTCTCTCTTTGTAACATTTTGCCTACTTACCTCATAAATATTCACCTACTTATTTTGAACCCTCCTAGTACCTCCCACAAGTAGTATCCTGAACATTCACACTGTGGATTAAGCATCACTACTCTGTTCATCCATAGATCCTTGTGCATGCCTTAAACATGGTACTAAATGGGTTATATTAACATGATCTATTTTAATTCTCTGATTCCCTCAGTCAATTAGGAGTTATTTAAAGCCAGTAGATGTGTCTTTATTTTCTGAGGCTTAAATGAATGAAATGCTCAATAACTAGTATTTATTTTAAATTACAGAATATTCTTTAAGAAAAATATTAACTAGATGGTGTCCAGGTACCACTGTCATCCACTTGGAAGGGGATCTATGTAGGAGATCCTTGATAGAGAGGGAGAAAAATGTGGAACAAAACTCAAAATCATTTGGAGGAAAAAAAGGGGGGGATGAGGTTTTCTGGTCCAATAGAGCCTGGTGGAACCACTGAGACTATGGCCCCTAGCTGCCTTTCAGATCTGGAATTGAACCCACACCTGTGGTTTCCAGCCAAAAAAAAGACAGGCATATGAGTTGAACATTTACCTGAGGTAGATACACTCCTTGGAGAGAACAATCATGGGAGAAAGAAGGGCTGCTTATGCACTGGGAGACAGCTCAGGGGGCAGGAGTGCATGGAGGGATGGACACTGGGAAGAGGTAACTGTGGGGAGGAGGTGGGAGGGGAGCTGTTGCATTGTGGTAAACTGTGGTCAATGTCATGAGACAAAGTGTATGTGAACTGCTGTATGGAAAATGAATTGGCTCTGTAAATCTTCACCCAAATCACAATAAAAAAATTAACAATAATATATATTTATTTTATTAATTATTCTCCTTTAATACTATATTTTCTCCTTTTTTGCTACATATTCTTCATTACTATTTATTTCCCATTTTTATTATATTTATTATTTCATCTGATATTTACAAAAACTATCTGAAGTCAGAAGTTGTGGTATTTATAACCATACAGATACAGATAAGCAAACACAGGAAAAGAGTACTCAAATAACTTGCTTCAAGACTGTCAGTTGGTTGGTTGCAGAATTGAATTGGTTCAACTGCTAATATAACATAATAGGTCAGGTAGGTCTCATGAATGATAATTTACTTCAGCTCTTCATGTTAAAATTATTACTTTCATCTAAGTAAAATTATCAATATTTTGTGACATCTGCCTTACTGTTCCATTATCTAGACCATCTTTCATTGTGACCTTTACAGTCATAACCAAAAAATGGTGTAAATATCAAGCATATAACTCTAATCAACTCCCAAACCTCTTCCATAACTCTACTTAAGTACCTCATAGCACTATTATAACTGTTCTTATCATGCTACCACATTATCTGCCTACCAAGAATGCAATCTTCTTAGAGCCACACAAATTAATTTTAGATATTATAAATTTGAAAAGAAATTTTGTTAACTCTTCTAGGCATCACAAATTTTAGTTTACATTGGTAAAAAAGAACCTAAGATCAGTAACTTTCATGTTAAGGAAAAGCTTCAGATTTAAAGTTTGCTTTCAAATTATGATTATCTTACATTTACAATTCTTTTCACCAAAATGCATTCAACAGAGATGCATTATTCTAAATTCCATGATGTTTTTCCACATTTCACATTTTTATCTACCTGTACTGTGTTGGCTCATGTGTTTTTCTGAAGCTGCAATCCATGTCACCGGTATTTCGAGCACCAGCAGGGTTATGCATGATAGACAGATTTCAGATAAGTTTCTAGACTAAGAAGGTGGTGTACTCCTAAAAACAAACAAACAAACAAAAAACCCGACCACTGTAAACCTCATGTATAGTGGTAGAATATTATCTTATGTAGTGCCAGAAGGTGAACTTCTCATGTTGGAAGACATTTAAAACACAACTAGAGAAGATCTGCTTCCTCAAAGTAGAGATGATCTTAATGATATAGATGGAATAAAGCTTTAAGGACTTTCATTTGTTGAGGTAGCACAATTCATAATGAGAAGAAATACAGGTACAAATAGCTATTAATCTCTGAAATGTGAAATGTGTGAAATATGAATTTAGGAAAATTTGAAACTCAATATCATCAGTCAGATCAAAACTTACAGCTGAATTCACAACATGCCATCAATTGCTCATATGCAGAAGCTGAAGAAAATTAAAACCACTTCACAAGAGCCAAAATGTGATTTTGAGTATATCCCACCTGGCTTTAGAGACCATATCAAGAATAGATTTGATCTATTGAATACTAATGAGCAAAGACCTGATGAGGTGTGGGGAAGATATCAAGGACATCATACATGAAGAGAGCAAGACGCAATTAATAAAAAAGAAAAGACTAAGCTACATGTCAGAAGAGACTGTGAGACGTGCTCTTGAACATAGAATATGATGAAGTAAAAGAGCTGAACAGAAGATTTCAAAGGGCAGCTCAAGAAGTCAAAGTAAAGTATTATAATAAAATGTGCAAAGATCTGGAGTTAGAAAACAAAAAGGGGAGACCGTGCTTGAGATTTCTCAAACTGAAAGAACTGAACAAAAAATTTAAGACTCAATTTGAAATATTGAAGGATTCTCTTGGGCAAACTATGGAATGATGCACAAAACAACAAAGGAAGATGGAAGGAATGTAGACTCACTGTACCAAAAAGAAGCTCTGGTGGTGTAGTGGTGAAGGCATTGGCTTCTAACTGAAAGGTGGGTGGTTCAAGAAAGAGAGAGAAATCTGCTTTCATAAAGATTTACAGCCTTGGAAACCCAACTGGGATTGCTATGAGTTGTAATCAACTCAATGACAGTGAGTGAGTACTAAAAATAATTGGTCAGTGCTCAACCATTTCAGGAGGAGGTATGTCATCAAGAACTGAGAGTATTAAAGGGAATATTCCAACTGCACTGAAGGAATTGGTGAAAAACAACACTCTAGGAATTTATAGGATACCAATTGAAATCTTTCAATAAAAGGATGCAGTGCTACAAATGCTCACTCACCTATGTCAAGAAATTTGGAAAATAAATACTTGGCCAACCAACTGGAAGAGATCCATATTCATTCACTTTGTAAAGATGATCCAAAAAACTGTAGAAATTATCAATTATCAAGACCTCCTTAAAGTGTCGAACAGCAAAGATATCACCTGGAAGACTAAGGTGCAACTCACACAGGCTGTGGTGTTTTCAATCACCTTATATGTATGTGAGAGCTGGACAATGAATACGGAAGACCAAAGAAGGGTCAATCCTTTGAGTTGGGTGCTGGCAAAGGATGCTGAAAATACCATGGATTGCTAGAAGAACTAACACATTTGTCCTGGAAAAAGTGCAGCCTGAATGCTTCTTGGAAGTGAGAATGGACAGACTTCGTATCATCTTCTTTGGTCATGTTGTCAGAAGGGACCATTCCCTAGAGAAGGATGTCATGCTTGGTAAGGTGGACGGCTGACAAAAGAGGGAAAAGCCCTCAACAAGATGGATTGATGCAGTGACCACAATAATGGGCTCAGGTATAGCAAGAATCATAGGGCTGGCACAGGACTGACTGACATATTTCATTCTGCTGTACGTTCGCTATGAGTCAGAGATGACTCTACAGCACATCTTTCTGGTATTCTCTGCTTTCAGCCAAGGGCCATCTG